TCTCTGCCCACTTGCTGCATCAGAAGGAACTTAGGTATGTTCATTAGATCAGACTTTTTTTTTTTTGAGACAGGGTCTTGCTACATAGTTTAGACTGGCCTAGAACTTATGACAATCCTCCCGCCTCAGCCTCCTGAGTGCTGGAATTACAGGCTACACCACCATGGCTGGCTTAGGTCAGGCTTTCTACTGAGCACTTTTTATTGTGCAGGGGGCTGTGAGCTACGTGTGCCTCTGGTGTCTCCTGGTGAAGGGTCGCCACCCCATCATGGCCAGCCCAGCACTGGGCTTGGTCCCAGTCAGCGAAAGACCCTGGAGATCTGAGCAGAGGCCAGCTGAGTGTGGCCGGGGAGCTTCTCGTCAAGGTGGGGCTGGTGTCCCATGGGCCACTACCTGCTGTGTCCATCCTGTTACCTTTTCAGCCTGAGTGCACCCACAGCCGCTTCTGTGTGTGGGTACGGGATGCCTGTGTGCTGGACACCAGACAGGCCCTGGGGACAGAAGACAGACCCTCCTGGGAGAGGTCTGAGTCATTCGTGAGCCAGTGGCTTCTTGTCGCAGACAGGGCGGTGTGGGTGCAGGCGTGCCGTCTGTGTGTGTCGGGTTCAGGAGTGGGGGGTGTGGAGGCTTTGGGGTAGGGAAGCAGTTGTGCAGCTGGCAGAGGTAGTCACAGAGCTGGGGACCAGGATCAGAGGAGCCGGGGTGCAGGACTCAGCGTTGGCACCTGCCTGGCTGGGCACCGACACTGCACTCTCCGTGGCCTTGCCCACAGCTGCGTTGCTCTCAGCAGATGCCCCCTCTCCGCTGCTGTTCCTGATCTCTTATACACATCTCTGCTCCCTCCAGGGTTTGCCCCGAGCTCTGCCCACCCTCCCTGGCCAGTGGTGCCCTCTGAATGCCCTGGGAAGGAGCAGGCCCCTCAGCAGGTGTGCCTGGGGGGATCCATCCCTGAATTCCATATCCCATAGCAGAGCCACCGTGGCTGGGGCCTGAACCCTTTGCACAGCCTAGAAAAGCTGGTGCCTCATCTCGTCAGAGCCCAGGGGCTTAGCACATGGTGCCACACCTGGCACTTTCCTCTGGCTCCACTTCCTGCAGAGGAGGCCAAGCCTTGGAAGCTGTGTGGAGGCTGAAATGTCGCAGCACAACACACACTGGCTGTGTTACCTGGGGCAAGTGACTCAGCTCCTCTGAGCCTCCTTTTCCAGCTCTGTCAAATGAAGCCAGCGGTACTCATCTAGATTGTGTTCTTGCCAGGCAGAGGGAGCTAAGTCAGGGAAAAGATGTAGTCCAGAGGGTGATAGGTGTGCAGTCACCGCTCTAGTGTCACCTTGGCTGATTCCCCCCAGCAGACCCTTGCAGAAGTTCCAGCCTTGGGCAGGAGTGTGACACTTTGTCCTCTTGACATGGGATGAGGATCCCATACTTACGGCTGGCTGCCGGGGTCACTGACCCAGGAGGAAGGAGATGTGGCCCAGATGCCTCCACCCACCAGAGCAGCCCATCCGTCCGTAGGAAGCCTGAGGCCCCAGCCCTTCCCTGTCCCATGGGCGTCCAGGCCCTTCCCGGCCTGGGACAAGAACAAGTGTAAGGAGCAAAACCAGTCTGGGTCCCAGGGCAACAGGAGCCCACAGAATGGTTGGTGCCTCCAGGGCCACCCAGCCTTGTGGGAGAAGCAAGGAGTTGCCACACTGCAGGGGACTGGAGCCACCCCTTAGCACCAGCAGACTGGCACAGGCACTGCTTTGTGATGGTCTTTTGTCTCCCACCGGGGCAGGGGTTGGGGCTCGGGGGTCAGGGATGAGGAGATCCCAGGAGGAGGCCAGGACCCTATGGATCTGTGCTCTTCACACTGTTCCTGGGAGCCTGAGGCTGAGTCGGGAAGGATGGCTCCAAGACTGCAGCACTGGAGCTAAAGCCAGGCCTGGAACCGGCTTCTAGGGAATTTGCATGGTCACAGAGAAGGGCATTCTGGGAAGGGGCAGTGCGTGAAGCCCGGGGAGAAAACCAGAGTCATTGGTGACGACACTGAGGGAAGCCCCCTGTGGCCAAGTTAGGGGCTGACTGATGGAGTGAGGGGCTCTGTGCCTGTCTGGCCCCCAGTGCAGAGGGAAGATGGGCACCCTCCATGTGCCAGGCGTGGGGGCCTCTCTCCAGACCTGGACACCTGTGCCTAAGGATGGCAAGGCTGCAGATAGTCAGGTGTGCCCTCCCTTGCCACCCCATTGTGTGTTTTGCAGATGGGAAACCCAGGAGGCCAGCACCCAGCCCTGTGTCCTGAACTCTGTCCAGTGCCCGCAGGCCATGAAAACAGCCAGGACTCACCTTTCACCTCCATGGCCCGAGCTCAAACAGGGCTTTGGAGAGGAAACAGCTTGTCGCCCCGCCCGCCCTTCCTGGCCAAGCAAGGGGCCTCCTGGCTCCTAGTCCAGACTGGGCCTGTGAACCTGTACCTCACTAGGCCTCAGTTTCTCTGTCTGTAACACAGAACTGAGGTCAGGTTGGCTGTTTTCTCTCTGTTCCTTAGTTCTGAGGTTCTGCTTGTCTTGAATTGGGGCTGGGGACAGCAGCCACTGGAGCCAGGCTGGAGGACACTGAGGTCAGGGAGGCTGTGTGTGGAGGGACAAAGCTGTGACTCTGGGGAGACAGGGATGGGTGTTGTTGAGCCACCGGAGAGAGGCCGCCTTCGTGGAGGCCTCTAGCTGCCCCGGGTGCCCGAGGGGCTGTCGTGGGCAGGGGAGCGCGGCCACAAGTTGGGGGAGAGGAATTTTCAGGGTGTAATTAGTGCACTTTTAGGCATCCACCAAACTTCCCCTTCCTCTTGACAATTTGCTGCCAAGGCAGCCCTGATTCTTGCAGACTTACTTAAATCATATCCAGAAAAAAAGAAAGAAAAAGGAAAAGGTGGGGCAGGGGGAGTAAGAAGGTTGTTATTTGTGAAATTGCATTTCCCAGCTGTGAGGGTGAGTCACGTTTGGAGCTCGGCCCTGCTGCCCCGCTCTGGCTGCTCTGGGGTGGGGGGCCTCCTGGGCTGGGGACAGTCTTTGCCAAAGGCCTCTCTCAGAGAGACCTGGCCGGTGGGCCTGGCTGTTGGTACCCAACTGCCCAGGAGCCTGGGAAGAGCACATTCAGGCTGGGGCAGGGGAGGGCAAGGAGCCCGTGTCTAATGGGGCAGTTTCAGTTTGGAAGATGGAAAGTTCTGGACAGTGGTGAAATGGTTGCACGGTAAGAATGCACTTATTCGCACCAAACTGTATGCCTTAAAGTTGCAGATTTGAGACCTTTGGTCCTGAGTGGTGCTGAGTCTGTCTAGGGTGGGGCCCAGAAAACTGTTTTGGTTACAAGTTTCCCGGGTCATTCAGTAGGAGCTCCGACACACTTGTTTAATCTGTAGCCTGAGGACCGTGACTCACAGGGCAGTGGTGAGAACTGCTGTCTGCATGTGTGTGAAGTCCCGGAGCCAGGGCACCATAGTCACCTGACCTGATGCCCACAGCACCCTCCCTGCCCTGACAGGTTGGTCTCTGTGGGCTCACACAGTACCTCCAGGGATGGGGGCCTCTGCCTGCTGGGGGGCACTCCATCTTGGGTTCATCGGAGAGCTGAGGAGTCACCCCAATCTTCCATACTCCCGGGCTTCATGGTGGAAGCAGGCAGTGGCAGAGCAGTGACAGCTGCCAGGACCTGTGTGCTTCCATTGCACAGGCACTGCCCTGCAGCCGGCTGCTCCCTGAGCCCCCATGGATGCGGTGTCTGTCTTTCCTTCCACATTCCAGCCTGGCATCCAAAAGTGCATGAATGGGAACAGAGGCCCAGAGGGAGAAAGGCCTGGCCCAGGATGACACAGCAGTGTCCTGATGAGCTCCCATCTCCCCTGATGAGGAGGGCTTGGTACTCTAGAAGGGGAGTGGCCCACCCTTAAAGACAGAGACAGCAAGGAGGCACATGTGGGGAGTGGCCAGGGGAGGACAGGGTGTGTTCCAAACCCTGGGCACAGTTCCCAGCGTCCTCCCTCCCCTTCCTACATTGTCCCCACTTGGAGTCTCTGTTTTCCCCAGCTTTGCGGCCTTCCTGCCAGCAGCCCTGTGCCCCATCAGCCTGAAGACTCCCAGAAACTCATCCTCGCCTCCCTGTCAGGCCAAGGTCCGCAGGTCCACAGCTCACTCCTGGAGTTCTTGGCCACCTGCATTGTTGCCAGGGGATGCCAAGCTCCATGCCCGGGTTGGTCCCTTTTCTGGCCTCAGCCTTGCCCTAGAAAAGGAACCCAAGGCCATTCCTTACCGGCCTCACCGCAAGCTCCACCTTCACTGGGCTCTGGCATGCCAGGCCGCCTGGAGCCCGCGACACCTATAAATAGAGGCTGTGTACACCAGGAGGGGGCCTGGGCCACGTCTGCCTTGACGCTTGGCGGGCTGTCTGGTTCCTGTCATCGGGAGGTGGGAGAGGTGGGCCACTTCCCTCTTCTGCCTCCCAAAGAATGGCCGGGGCCGGACTGGGCTCCTGAGTGCAGGAGACCAAGCAGAGGGCTTCAGACTTCCTTTCTGTAAAATAGAAACTATGCCGCAAGCCATAGTTTCAGGGGAAACTGAGTCAGCAATGGTTTGCCTAATGTCCCTCCACCAGGTAGTGGCAAAGCCCCAAATCTGACAGGCAGCCTTCTTTACCTTCTTACCTCATGGCAGCGCATAAAGAACTGAGAGTAGTAATAACCACAAGCACTGTCATGGTCACCATGGACTGAAGGGGTCCTGGATGTCAGGCATGGACAGAAACTCTCCAAGGCCGCTGTCACATTTCCTGTGACACAGACAGGGCCACTGAGGCCCAGTGTGACTAACTGGCCACCCAAGCACTCACACTGGGGCTAGGGTTGGATTTGAACTCCAGCTCCTGGAGGCCAGAGCTTTTAGGCAGCTGAGGACGCCGTGTGAGTTTCTATGTGGGGATGGGACAGAGGAGATCTCCTGGCCACCGCTGCCAATGTGCCTCTGCCCCCACAGGCGCTGAGCAGCAGCGTGTACAAGAGCGCCTCACCCTATGGCTCCCTCAACAACATCGCTGACGGCTTGAGCTCCCTCACTGAGCACTTCTCTGACCTGACCCTCAGCTCCGAGGCCCGCAAGCCCAGCAAGCGGCCCCCACCCAATTACCTGTGCCACCTGTGCTTCAACAAGGGCCACTACATCAAGGACTGTCCCCAGGTAAGGTGGCTGACCCCCAGGACCTCTGATGGATACTGGCCTGTGGGTGGGCAGGCACTGTGGCCTCCACCTTTTGTCCCCTCTGTGGTTGGGACAGAGCCCACCTTAAGCTCGGGCTGGTGGGACGGCAATCTGAGTGAGGGATTCTGGATCCAGACTGGGGCCCTCCAATGCGGCTCTGGGCCTGCAGGTCCCCGGCAGCTCTCCTGCAGGGTGGGCCCCATTACGGAGGGGCGCCGGGGCCAGCAGCCTCCTCCAGCTCTCTGGAGGCCCCAGCTGCTCACACTCACAAGGAAGGAATGCGGGCACCGTGCCAGGAATCCAGATGTGCACCCCCCCCAGACCCCACCTCTGCCCCCCTCTGCCTGTAGAGAGGAGGGAAGGGGGTCCTGTCCCCACTTCATGCCCTTCAAGAGGTGTAGGTGAAGGTCTCGGGCTGAGGGGCTGGGCATCTCTCTTGGGCAGGAAGAGGCCAGGAGATGGAGCGTGGATCAGGACCAGCACCCACACTGAATGCTTTGCTGTGACCAAGCAGACCCCACTCCCAGGCTGACCCCCAGCTCCTCCATAGATGTGTCTTTGGGATCCTGGGAGAGGAAATTAGCCAACTATCTTTTAAATTCGAGTATGAGATTATCAGTGATTTTTTCTTACAATTTTTCATATTTTCCGATTTTTTATAATGTGGTACTAGTTTTATTTTATACATGTAATGGCAAAGGAATCCTGGAAACTGAAAACCAATGGAGTGTCACCCTCCAGATGTTGGAAGCCAGGGTTGTGTTGGGTGGGGCTGCATCCAGGGCCCTGGGAGGCCAAGATGTGCTTATGGCTCCTCAGAAATGCCTGTGCCAGACTTAGGTCCTCCTGCTCAATGTGTGACCTGGGAATTTGTGAAGAATGCAGAATCTGAGGCCCCCACCTGCACGGTAGTGAGGCCCGCAGGTGACGTGTTTGTCCTCTACCTCCACCCTGCCTAGGGTAGCTGACCCACTGGTCGTTGTCCTTGAGAGCCACAGCTGCTGGGGCCCTGTGTGCCCCTCCACAAATACAGTACACGAGAGGCCCTTGGCATAGGGACACTGCCAAGACTGGGCCTCCACCCCACCGCAAGAGTCTCTAAGACAGGGCAAAGGCAGCTGAGGACCTGGGTGGTTCGTAAGGCTCTGCGTGTGGCCTGCCCATCAGCAGCCCCCTGTGTCCTCCCCACTGAGCCCCGCCCGGCTTAGCTCATGGGCACTGCCATTCATAACCACACTCTCCATCCTCCTCAGTGTGGCCTGGGCTGTGGGCAGGGCTGGACTCAGCCTCACTGAGGAGGAGATGTGCACTCCTGACTGCACTCCTGCATGGCTCACAGCCACCCTGAGTGCCTCACCTTGCAAGAGGACACAGGTGCAGGGAGCAAGGCAGGAACTCATGCAGGATCATGGAGCGAGGCCTTTAATCCAGGTGGCCAGTGGTCTTCTACATGCTGGGGCTCAGAGTCTCACTTCCCAGCACCTTGGTTTTTCCTTTACACAAATCATTATCCCTTAACCTGATGGCAGAAATAGCAACAGTGGTCCCATCACACAGCTGAACAAATTGAGTCTCCAAGAGGTGTTGAGGGGCCGGCCAGAATGTGGGTGAGAACTCTGGACTTGGGACCTCAGTGTACTTTGCCACTCCAAGCCAAGAGCCCCTCAGTCTGTGCAGCCTCAGTTTCTTTCCTGAGCTGGTTGAGGCCTTCTCTTGGTCCCATTTCAAACCTCATTTTGTCTGGAACTCCTGAAGGCCCTGGGATCACACTGCCCTCATCAGGAGTGGTAGGAGGATAGAGGTCAGCACAGTGTCAGACACACAGTGTTCAGTACATGCTAACTTGTATTACTCTTTGCTCCTTTGGGCCACGGTGAAGAGTATACCCATGCTGAGAGGTACAAGGTATTCGGCAGGCTGGAATTTAATTAGATGCTGTTCCTGCCTCACCTGGCCACAGCTGTGGGGGCAGGCGTGGCACTAGATCAATCCCTGCATTCCTCGCTGTGTGACAGCACCCAGCAGGTGCTCAGCACAAGTCTTTCTAATGGAAGGAACGGGTTTATAAGGCTTGTGGAAACCATGGAAGGAAACGTGTGCCACGAATAAATATTATTGAAGAGTTCAGTGTATATAATGTATAAAAATAGAACATTCTTTTTGTGCTAACCACTTTAGCAAGACACAAGTCACTCATTAAATAATTTACCTATTTAAAATGTACAACCCAATGGTTTTTAGCATTTCCCCGAGTTCTGCAGCCTTCACCACAATCAGTTATAAAACCTTTTTTATCAATCAGAAAAGAACTTAATGCAGTTAGTTAGTATTGAGACAGGGTCTCACTATGTGGTTCAGGCTGTCTTTGAATTCACTGTGTAGCCTAGGCTGGCTTTGAACTCACAGTGATCCTCCTGCCTCAGCCTCCTGAGTACTGGGAGGTGTACAATACCACTCCAGGGCTTTATACATTTTAGTATCACCTCCTGACTGCCATCTCCTGGCAACCACTCACCTATTTTCTTTCTATATAGATTTTCCTGTCCTAGACATTTCATAAAATTGTTTTGTTTTGTTTGTTTGTTTGTTTGTTTGTTTGTTTCAGACAAGGTCTCACTATGTAGTTCAGGCTGGCCTGGAACTCACAGCACTCCTCCTGCCTCAGCCTCCTGAGTGCTGGGATCACAGGCATGTGCCACCACACCTGGCTTACATTTCTTAAAATTGGAATCATAGGGTAACAGTTAGCATAATGTTTGAGAATTCTTGTAGTGTGTGTCAGTTTCCATAACCTGGAAAATGTTCGATCATCTTCTATTTTCTGGAAGAGATTGTGAAGAATTATTATTAATTACTCTTTAGATGTTTGGTGGAATTCATCTCTAAGGACATTGCTTGTGGGTAGATTTTTGAGGACTAATTCAATCTCTTCTTGTTCTAGATCTAGTCTGATTGTCTCTTACTCCTTGAGTCAGTTACTATAGTTCATGTATTTCTAGGGATTTGTCTGTTTCACCTAATTTATCTAATTTATCAGCATATAATTGTTCCTAGTATTCTCTTATAATCCATTTATTTCTGTAAGGTCAGTAATAATATCCCCCTCTTTCATTTCTGACTCTTGTAATTTGAGTCTTCACTTCTTTCTTTTTCTTGGACAAATCTAGCTAAAGGTTGCCAATCTTGTTGAACTTTTCAAAGAACCAACTTTTTTTGATTGAGCTGATTTTTTCTGTTGTTTTTCTATTCTCTATTTAATTATTTTCTACGCTAATCTCTTTTCTTTAACAATTGTGGCAGAATCCACATAACATAAAAACTACCATCTTGACCATTTTTAATTGTACAGTTCAGTGGATTTAAGTGCATTTCTATTGATTTGCACCCATCACTAGCATCCACAGAACTCTTTTTGTCTTATAGAACTGAACTCTGAACCCTTTGAATTAACTAATTAGTTAATTAGTAATTCCCCCTCCCCCCTCCCACACCCTTGATGTCCACCATTTTACTTTCTCTTCTTGTGAATCTGACTGCTCTAGGGACCTCATAGGGTCATACAGTATCTGCCCTTTTGCAGCTGGTTTGTTTCATTTAGCATGTCCTCATGGTTCATCCATGCTGTAACATGGGTGAGAATTTCCTTTCATTTTGAAGAGAGATGTGTGAATCCAGAGTCAAAGCAGCATTATCCACAATAGCACAAAGGTGGAAGCAACCTACTTAACCACTAGTGGATGATAAACAAACAAACGTGGTCTCTCTAAACAATGGAATATTATTCAGCCTTAAATCTTTGCTTTCAATCTTCCATTCTGATCCTTGTTATTTATCTCTTTGAGCTTGCTTTAGGTTTAGTTTGTTCTTTTCCTTGTTCCTTGAGTTGGAAGACTGTGTTACTCACTTTACAGCCTACCCTTTTAAAAAAAATTTGGATTTTTTTTCAATTGTGGTAAAATATAGGATTCATTATTTTAACTAGTTTTAAGAATACAGGGCTGGGGATTTAGCTCAGTGGTTCCTCTGCCTGCCTCATAAGCACAAGGTTCTGAGTTCAATCCCTGTTACCAAAAAAAAAAAAAGAATACAATTCATTGGTACTAAGTATATTCACAATGTTGTAAAACCATCACATATATATATATATACATATATATATATATACATATATATATATATATATTTGTGTGTGTGTGGTGTCTAGGGCTTCATGCCTGCTAGGTGGTACTCTGCTGTTGAGCTTCATCCATCCCTTTTTACTGTAGATTTTTACAGCGATGAATTTCCCTCCAAGATTTACCCATGAAGTTTAGTATGTTGTAGCTTTATTTTCATTTATCATGGGTTTTTATTTATCTTTCTTGTGATTTCCTCTCTGACCCACTGGTCATTTAGGAGTGTGTTGTTTAATATCAGCATATTTCTGTGTTTTCCAAATATAGTTTAATGATCTCTAACTTTATTGCGTTGTGGTCGAAGAACATACTTCCATTTTTTCATCCCTTCTGAACTTGCTGTGGTTTACTTCAGAGTTCAACACGTGGCAGTCCTGGAGTCTGTCCCATGTGCCCTGCCGGTGGTGGGTGGAGTTCTACAGATCTCTACTAAGTCTGTTCATTGACAGTGCTGTTTGTCCTCTTTGCCTTGTTGGCATTCTTACTGGTGTTTCTAGCCATTATTTTATTTGGGATAGTGAGGTCTTCATCATTGTAGAATTACCTATTTTTCTTCAATTTTGTCAAGTTTTTGTTTCATGTATTTCGGGGTTCTGTTATTAGGTGCACCTATGTTTATAATTGCTTTATCTTTCTGAGAGAGTGATTCTCTTATCATTATAAAATACCCTTTTTAGGGGCTGGGGATTTAGGTCAGCGGTTCCACCACTTGCCTAGCAAGCACAAGGACCTGAGTTCAATCTCCGGTACCAAATAAAATAAAATACCCTTTTTATCACCTTCAGGAACATTTTTGTTTTTGTT